TAACTACAAACAAAGTTGGGGGAAGCCACCTAGGATGTTACCCCAACCCACCTTAGCTTTGCTACTGGCACCAGCTGTTGTCCACCTACTCCACAGACTTTGTTCCAGCCTTTCCAAGCTCGTGGATCTTGACATGAAAGCCCTGCTCATCCCATCACATACAATCCACAACACAATCCATTTGTTTTGCAACACCACAGCAGCCCCACAGCCACACCACTGCACAGGTACACCCCTACCCATCACAAAAATCACCATCTCACATGGACAGAAAGTCAAGTGAGACCCTAACAAATCAAGTGCAGCTACTCAATCCAAGATCAGGAAGTTTCTAAGCCAGGAAAGCAAAAGGCACAGCAAGACTCAGAAGTGGACAAGGCATTCTGAGAAGAGGTAACTGCATGCAATACATCTGGATCCACGTACAGTGCAAGATTTAAGCCACAAGATGCAGCATCCCTTTAAGGCAAAATATTTGGATCTGGAAATCTCATAGCAAGAGATGAAATGGGAGCTGGGCCACTCAGGATTCAGTCTGGCCCAAGCTGGACCGATTCATTTCCATAAGAGCATATAAGTGTGTGGGGGGAGCTACCCATGAGCTTCAAGGCCTTTAACCTAATGGCCATCAGCATGTGAAACTGTGACTTTAAGTGGAAATGCCCAAATCTCATTAGAGACCAAAGGGAACATCAGAAAAGGAAATAAAACTTTCTGGTGGGCAAGACGGGGGCACATAAGGAGGGCATCTCCATACACACACTCACACACATAAGTATCCATATAACCAGCAATACTCAATTCCAGCGTCTTTCCTAAGTGCATGTAGCTCTCTCTGATTTAGGCCACTGGTTGAGCTATTTTCCAGGGAAAGCGATGAGCCACATAAAAAATGTGCTAATTCCATCGATACAAAGAAGTCCTGGTTCCCATCACTTGCCCGAGGAGGGGTTTGAGTTCTCTCACAGCTCAACATAAAGAGTCAATGCTGGTTAAAATACCGTCACCTCACTTGCCTTTTTTGAGGCAGACAAATTGTTGTGGGCGATCCTCAGACCTGTTTCTCTTCCTGCACACTGGCAGAGCCAGGATTTGTACTTGTCCTTAAATCTGATGCTGAGAGAGATTTTAATCTCTCTCCATGGGCAGTAAGGGATGGGTTCAGGCCAGATGCTACCTTGCAACTACATTCATAAATATGCTTGGCATTCCCAGTGGGTGGTTTGGAAGAAGCAATACGAGTTATTGCAGCTCTTTACCTGTCACTGTAGAGTAGTGAAGTGAATTTATGCCTTGACAGGGTCCCAAAGCACAATGTAAGCTGTTTCTATAGCGATCATTCACCCACAGCCAAAATGCAGCTGTCTCTGGGGTTGAACATAGCAGCTGTTCAGTGTCAACAGCATGACAAAGGATGTGCAAGGAAAAGACTACTAACTGGATGCCCAGGAGAAATCTACGCATAGCAAAGGAAAAGTGCGTGCTAGAACGGGAGTGTGTACCACCAGAACTTGACCAACTTCATCCCTGACACAGCCGATGACATGCTGCAGTCGGGAATGATCAGGTCTTGAGAGTTAATGACCAATCTACAGCTCACATCTCTGCCTATTTCACAACTCACACTTGAATGTGAATTATGAAATACATCATGACACAGAGCAGAAAGAATAGAAATGCCACAGCCAGTCACATATTATTTGTCTGCTGCAGGGTTTAGTCTCTGCCAGAGGAGTTGCAAGGTGCAGATAGCCAATCATTTCCAGGAGAACTTAGGGTGATATGATACAGCTGCCGTTACTTGAAGAAGCACACTGGTCATTGCTATTTTATTTCACTTTTGCTCCACTATTGTTTCCAACAGAAGAATTTTTGCAGGTGTTTGAAACACTGAAAAAAGAATTAACCAGAAACCAGTACACACCATGAACAACAAAGGCCCTATCATACCACCTTTAATTCTCTTTAAAATGATTACCTCTTGCCCCAGGTCTAGAGATGGATGACTACATCAGCTGAATAGATCAGATGAATGGCAATACATGTGTGATAGCCAAGTTTCAGTCAATAAATTAGTCCTTTTTTCCACACAGCAACGGCAACTTTCAGCATTTGCAGGACCATTTTATAGAAAGCTCTGATTTCCAGTGGCAGTGTGAACACACTCTGGGCACAAGCAAATAAGGCCAAGGGCAACCACTTGTGCAATTACTTGCCAAATGGTTCTAACCTGATATTCCTTACCCCACTGCAAAATATTCAAAGAAAGAGCTGTGGCAGTGTCATGCTAAAATGAGCTAATCCTGCAATTTTCAAAGTGTGTTGTCACAGAAATGCCAAAAATGCTTTTATGAACAATTACTTTTATACATTTACATTTTTAGCATACCAATAAGGGTTACAAAGGAATGGGCAATCCATGTGGCTTCTCTATGCCAGTAAATGCTGGATGATTTAGAGATGTAATAGTCAAGTAATGGTTTAGCCAGGCTCTAAATCCAAAACTGCTTTCAAACATCTATTTGAAAAATCAGGGTTGCTCCCAAGTTACCCAGATTCAGTGCTGAAAGTGAATTACATTATTACTGGCATTCCTGTAATATCTTGCTGTTTTTAAGCATAATGCTTAATGTGAATAGAATGCTTTTCCAGAACTCAATAATGCTTTTCAGGTATTTTCAAGGCCAAAGTGTTCAGGACAACTAAGTCTCTTAGAAAATTAAGTGCTGCCAAGAGTACCAAGTAAACAGAGAAAGAAAGAGAGAGAGATTTTCTCTGTTTGCTCACTGGGCACCAGTTCACACAGCCATCCTTAAAATACTCACCACCAGGATTTAACCCTTTAGTGCCTTTAGCTTATTTTAAGCTGGCCTAGTGAATGCCTCTGTATGTACAAACATCATTGCACCTCACTGCTTTCTTGAAAATTTTCTTAAAATGGGCTAAAGCAAAATGTGTCAAGTCATAATTTGGACTTGTGCAGTGGGCAAGCTAGGTCACTGCACTTTCCTTTCAAGTCTGCTAGGAGTCATTCTTGCCACTGTGTGACAGCAGGCTGTGGAACAGTAATTACGCAGTCTTCAGACCCATTGCTTAAGTTGCTCCAGAAAAGGTACTTTGCTATGTTCCCTTTATCCCTTATTTCATCTTCTGATTAATGTCCTCTTTCCCTACCAGTAACAAACACAGCATCAGTATCTGGGAAACTACTACAAAGATGAGGATGACTCAAGAGAGCTAGTGGCAAAGGCAAGTGGTAGTGCTGATGGTGAGAACATTGATCTAAAATACTAAGCAGCATCCACAAAGGATGGGCACTGTTACTGACCGAGAGGGGCAGGATCAGATCTTGACATGCCTGAAGCAAACAAACAAACAAAAAAGCAACTGACCTAAAGACAATGCCTGTTCACTGGGCAAATCCATTTGAAAACACATTTTTGCAGCAGTTTAAGGTGTGAAATTTAGTTCCAAGAAAGAATTTTGCATAGTTGGAAATGAAAATGAAAAGGTCAGAAGATTAATCCACACACTGTGCACACATGTACCATACAACTTATATATATCCAATATTTCATTAGACAGTGAGCTTCTCTTTGGCTGTTTAACTCTAATAGTTTCACATGATATATTAGGAACTATAATCAGTGAGTTTCTCTATTGATCCTGCTATGTTGTTTTGTGTGACCTTTTTTGTTATTGTACTTTAACCTTGATTTCAAAATGAAATAAGATGCCATGGGTAACAGAAAGAAAAAGAAGAGAATGGATCCATGAGGTCCAGAAACGGCCACAACAGATTGGCATTGCTGTCTTCATTCTCAATTGTGAAGGAACGCTTAGCCTCAACTGTGCTCCACTTTGCTTAGAGAAAGGGGCACAAGGAGACCTGCTGAACAATAGGAAAATCAAGGCTGCTACCTGGTCATCAGAGGAAAAGCAGCACAATGCGCACAACCCCCCAGCAGGTTCTGCAATCAAAGGTCACAGTCTGGGAGGGACCTGAATTTATTTTTGGCTCAATTTTTATTTTAAAAATCCATATGGATGTGTTAAAGTCACTGGAGAGAAGGGAAAGTTGTGTGGGCTTTGAATTCCTACTCAGCTCAAAATATCTCCTTTCATCACTTCTCTGCAGTTGCAGGCACCAAATCACTCATGCGACATTTAGGGGCAACAGGCACAAGGGAAATTGGTCTACCAGAATCAGCAAAAGACCTTGAAAAACGACTAGGGTTGTGGGGAGCATTCTGCCAAAAGGCAGCACCATGGACAGCAAAGGGGGCTCCCGGATCCCTGTGATGAAGGCACAAAGTGTCCTGGCTTCGTACTTTCCTACCTGAGCTTAGTACATCCAGGATGGGATTTGATGTTGCTCCTGGTGGCCAGAGGAGGCAGAAGGATTTTCATGCATTCCCTGTCATGTGATCTATTAGGTGCCCACTTTAACATTCACACTGCCTCCATCCATTGGGCACAAGAGTGGAGAGAGCCAATCCCCCCAGAATTCCGTGGGGTCTTGAGCAAAGGGGCATCAGAGCCACCAGACAGCTCCTGTGCCTGGAACATTTTGCATTTCCTCAAGCAAAGCGCAAAAAAGATGCCCTTCCCCAACATGAAAACATGCACACAAGCCACGCGCCACGATCGCACTCTCTCTCGCTCTCTCCAGGCAACCTTTCCAGCACTGAGGCCCAGGTGTCAAAAAACCACGGCAAGGTAGCATCAGCCCCCCACTTCGTACCAGAGGAAGTTTGGGCAGGGATGGTATAACGGACCTGCAAGATCCCCCTAACGTGGGACGGACAGAGGGAGCCGCGGACTGTGATAGGCGTGTGTTGGAGCGCGGATGGAGTGCCGAAGGAAACGTTTAAGACGTGGGATCCCCTTCCACGCAGTTTGCTGCTAAAGGGATGCTACACCTTCCCCTTCACTCCCCACACACACCGCTCCAGGCAAGGCGCCCCCCCTCCCCCGCTGCCAGCCCAGGGGGAACTCACCCGTTAGCTGATCGTAGGAACCATCCAGGTCCCGGGAATCGGAGAGGCTCTCTTTCCTGCTGCCCTTACCGCGCATCTTGCGGAGCGGGGACGCCCCGACGAGCAGCGCCGGGACAGGAGGCGCTTTCGGGGCTCCTCTCGCCGTTGCGCCCAGGGCGCGCGGCTCCCGGCTCCTCCCTACTCACCTGCGTCTTCTGCGGAGCCTCCGGAGGAGCCGCGGGACGGGGCAAGGTGCGCGCGTGTGTGTGTGTGGGGGGGGGGGACCGCGCCTTGCGCCCTGACAACAGCAGAAGCGGGAGCCGGCTCCAGCCCTCGCCCTCCCCGAAGCCGCCTCTTCGCCTCCGCCGCCGCCGGCTTCTGCGCACAGCCGCCGGCTTCCCTCTCGCGTTCGCACGAACCAACTTCCACACGTCCCTAGCGGGGGTCGGGGGGAAAGAGAGCGGCCGGCGACGGCCTCTTGTCGGTCGCGTCTCTGCGCCCACTTCCGTGCGCCCTTCCTCGAGCCCCCCGCCGGCCTTGCGCGCCGCCCCGCGCCTCGACCCGGGGGCTCGGCGTCCCTTTCTGCCCAGAATGAAGAAGAGGAGGGAGAGGCTCGCCGCCGCCGTGCACGTCCGACGGGAATCCGAGCGAGGGCTCCGGGAAGAAAAGGTGCGCGGGGGAGGAGAGCGAGGGAGGGTTACTCTTAGACACGTGTTTCCAGGGGCCGGGAGACACGTGCGTCTGTACACAAACATGCACGCTGGCGTCGCTAGAAAGAAAGCACGGGGGCCGCTCCCTCCGAGGCGGCGCCCACCCGCTCCGGCAATCGGCGAAGCGCCTCGGGCGGCGAGATCCGTGAGTAGCAAAGGCGCGGGCGCCCCGAAGGTGCCCCTCCGCCCGGGGCCGAGCGAATCCCGCGCAGTACGGCGGTGCTCGCCAGCACGGGGCTGCCGCGCGCCGGGGCCGGGGCCGGGGGTCCGCATGCCGGGCTTGGCCGCCGATGGGGGCCGGCGACTGCCCGCCCTCGCACCAAAGGTGTCGCCTTTGCGCTTGGCGGACTCCCCACAGATCCATATCTGTGGAACCTGCCCTCCCCCCACGCACGCGCGGGCGCTCCCGAGGCGCGGTGGCCCTTCGGCTTTAGAAAGTATTTAGAGGAGCGGGGCGGGCTCCCTCCCCTCTGGTGATCTTGGGGAGCCGTTGGCGGTCACTTAAACCACCAGACTGGATGTGCTTCTATACCATTAACCAGTTTACGACATGAGGATAGGAGAGAATCTCTCTCTCTCTCTCTCTCTCTCTGATGGTTTCACCCGTTGGATGCTTTCCTATTGCAGCTGTTGGCGACCCTAGAGGCTGCCAGGATGAAAGGCAGGCCCTGCCTGCACCTGGGAAAGGAAATACGGGACACATTGCACGATGCAAGTTCCTTCCTGAGAAGGTCCAGTGGGTAGGCAGCATGCAGGGGGCACGGACAGAGGCTAAGGCAAGGGATCACTTGCCCAGGATGGGCTTCAGTAGTAGGTACACGAGCCTTGGAGTGCATCTGTGAGCTGGATTTCTAGCTACCTGGTCCCATGCCTCTTTACTCAAGTACTGAGAGGTGATTGTAGGGCTATTATAAACTGCACTTTGGGTGAGGGGAAATATTGCCATAGGGTTGTTGCAAGAGAGAACGTCCACCCCACCCCTGTGATCCAGGATGAAGGTCAACTCCCGGAGACTGCGGAGACATGCTTTTTTCGGCTGGCCCACCACATAACCAATGTCAAGTTCCAGCTTCTCAGACATTCCCTTTGGCAATTTTCCCCTTAATTTTAGCTAAGTGATTGGATTGGGGCGGGGGGACTTCTTCCTGTGGAGTTTCAAAATTCAGCTGAACCATCTTCTGTGCTCACACCATTAATTTCAATTAATGAACCCAGCTCACATTCTGGACTATGCTTTATGACCTAAACACCAGCCAATGTGATTCCAGCCCTAAATCACTGTTTGGCACCATTGCAGCAAGCCTGCCGAAATGCTCTATCCCAGAAGTGGCTGCATAAGTAGCAAATCAGCAAGCAGGCAGCAGGGGAAGCCATGCCTCTAGAGTTTAGTAAGTCCCAGGGAGCACTGGGATCATACACACGGATAATGCTGTTGCTGGATTAACCTTCCGCTATGCTCTCAGCTTCTTCATCCATTGTTCACACATGATTGAGTGACAGAGCTTGTTCATGTTGACACAGGCCGCTCCAAGAAATATATCCTCTTATTGTTCTTGCTTGTTTTTGCTGGGAGAGGAGGTGTATAAACTCTAGTTTCTTCACAGAGTTCAAGCAAAGGAGGGAGAAATAATTTGAGTGACCAAGCAAACATTGGTGAAACATGCCAAACCCATCCATTTTGAGGATTTAAAATACAACAGAGGGACATAAGAAGCTGCCTTACAACTGAGTCAGACTATTGGCACATCTAAACTAGTATTGTCAACACTGACTGGCAGCCACAGTCCAGGTTTTTAGGCAGGCTTTTTCCAGCTGTACCTGGAAATGCTGGGCATCAAACAGGGGACTTTCTGCATGTGGCCCACCAGATGTTGTTGGCCTGCATAGTTAGTAAGAGAAGGTGGGCATGGCACTTTAACGATACAGCCAATTCAGATGCTGGGCTGCGACTCAGGACACCTTGGTTCTTGTTCCCACTTGGTCACGAAGCTCACTGGCTGCTAGACACTGACTTTTAGCCAATTTACCTAGAGGACAAAGTGGAGAGGAGGATTAATTTAAGTCACCTTGGGTTCCTTGCAGGAGAATGTAAAATGCAAAACACAAAACCACTTTAGCGTCATCCCAGCCTGCTCCTAGTTCAGACAGTTGCCCAAAAGGATACTGTGGTCAATGGAACTGAAAGCTGTTGAGAGGTCCAGGATCAGATTTCCCTGTCTCTCTCCCTTTGGCCAAGCTTCTCAGTTCTCCATAGTTAGTAAGAGAAGGTGGCATGCTACTCCTTGTCTAGCAGAACAGGTCTCTGCCCATTGCCGGAGCACTCAGACATGCCATAATCCAAACTCTACAATATGCATACTAATTAGCAAAAAGGAAATATTGGGAATGTGGTTGTTGTATCAAGAAAACTTGGGAGAGAAACGGAGGGTTACAGTCCCTCAAGAAATGCATGAATCTCTCTTTCTTTAAGTGAACTTCCTTCCCCCATGCAGAGAGAAAATGCAAACTCCTACTGGAAAAAAGAGTGACTAGGGAGACCTTGAGAAATGTCATTTTCAATTTCAGTTGATGGGTTCAGTATCACAGAAGGAGCAGCTGATACCAGACTGACAGCTGTCTGTCTAGAGAACACACACATGGGAGGCTGAAGTACATGCTATTGATCAGATTCTTTGGAATTAAGATATTTATTTTCTGTGATGGATAGCTGAGCTCTAGTTCATCCCAGTTAAGAGTTCCAATCTACATCAATTCACATAAGAAAAAAAGAGGAAACACTCACCCTAGAAATAGAAGGGAGACTGGCATCAACTTGGCTACATTGGACCCATAGCCGGCAAATTGCTAGCAATATGTGCAGGTTGCCAAACTCCCACAAAAGTGATTTGTATCAATATAAGCAACTTAGGCCCAACACATGATGTTCAACCACAGCTTCCATCATCCTTTCCCACTGGCTATGCTGGCTGAGGCTGATGGGAGTTGCTATTCAAGAATATGTAGAAGGCCACAAGTTGCCCAGCCCTGCCCTACCATTAGATAGAATGAAGCAGTCACCCCAAGGAGCAGATGTTGATTGCCAATAAAGGGCAGCGAACTGTTATTTGTTTTATTAGCTTGGTATTTTTATAATTTTTAATAAATTAATAGTCTGCCCCATCTCCAAGGTTTGGGGAGATATAACACAGCAAAGATGCACAAAAATGACTGAGATTTATTCTCTCAAAACTCCACTGCCTCTCCTTGACTTAAGGGACAACCCAAACAGGTAAGGTCTTAACACAGCTTTCTGCTCAGCTTGGATCCTGGACAGTCTGCAGTGGAGTGGGGTAGGGGGCAGGTCAAACAATCACTATTACTTTCAGCTCTAATAGAAATTCCCCTCTGGCATTTCCAAGGAAACCTTGCCCTAAAACTCTTCCCCACCACCTATTCTTTCCCTTTCCCCAGAAATTCCTCTTGGACAGACCTTTATCACTGCACCTTTCAGCACCTTTCTCCCTGGTGTCCAAGGAGTGAGAGAAATAAACCTCCTGTTTTTGCACCCACAGGGTCAATCTAAACAAGGCAATGAGTTACTCTGCTCTTCCTTGTGCAGAAAGCCAGGATGGATGGGAAGGGGCTCTTTTCACTCCTGGTTGTATGCTGAAGAACAGCAACTCCTCTTTAGGCCTGCCACATTTTAGAAAAGGTGGTACATGCATGCACGGTGGGGAACCGTGCCTCAAAATAAGGAACCAGGAAGGAGCTTAACAGCCTCTGCTCCTATTGTTGCCCTTTACCAGCTCGCTCTCCCCCTCTTCTTGGCTCCTGCCTTTGATAGAAAATCTCTTTCTAATCATTTCTCTTGCTGCATGCAGTCCTCCCTTCTCTCCCCCACCCTCCCACCCCATTCATTCTGATGGTGAGTGGGAGGGTTATTAATGTGAGGTTTTCCTTGTTCTCACTCTAAATACTGAATGCAGGAGTTAGGCGTTCCCACAGTAAATGAGGCACACTGTGCAGTTGGGAAGCCAGGAAAGGGGGCAGGAAACTCTACAGCTACCCTCCTAACTAATTACAGGACCTAGATGGTGTGGGGGATGTATGTGTATATACAGTATCAGTGTGTGTTCTGGTACTGACTGGAACCAATTGCCAAGTGTGCTGGACAAGCAATAGGGCAATGAAACAAGGTGCCAGGGCTTCGTGAGGGGTGTGATTTTGGTGACAAAGGATCCTGACATCAGGACTGTGTGGATCAGCTGGACTCAAGGACTTCAGCTGAGCCATTTGGAAGGCACAGCAAGAGTAGAGGGAGAAAATTCTGGGGCTTAAATGCCAGGATAGAGGGACTTTTACAGGCAAGATGGGAACAGTGAAGGGCTCATTATAAGAGGGATTGTGTAGTACAT